CAGATGAAATATTCAATGGACGCCAAACATCCAGATCAACAGACCGGGTCCCATGAGGATCGGTCATGCACAGACCACATCGCGGCAATACGGATCATCGTTGAACAATCAATTGAATGGAACTCGTCGCTACACATCAACATCCTTGACTATCAGATAGCATTCGCCGGTGTGGATAGGAGAACCTAATCGAACATTCTTCGACACTATGGAATGAGTAGCTGAGAACATCGTCAACATCATTCGGAATTCATACGACGGATTACGCTGCAAAGTCATGCATGGAGGACAGACAGATCACATATGCATTTCAAGTGATGACTGGTGTCAGACAGGGCTGCTCAGTCTCCCTCCCTTTCTCTTTCTTCTGGTTTATGAAGACCTCTACATCAGAGGTGGAGCATGGGATACAGTGAACAGGTTGGATGCAACTAGACGATTTGGACTTCTCAGATGATCTAGATCTTCTATCCCATATACATCAAATGTAGGTCAAAACAAACAGTGTAGCAGCAGCCTCTGAAGCGGTGGGCCTCAGCATGGACAAGGGAAAATGCAACATCCTCGTATACAACACGGAGAACACCATCCCAGTCACACGTGATGGAGAAGGGGTGGGGACTTTCACTTACCTACCTGGAAAGCACCATCGATGAACAAGGAGGATCCGATACAGAATACGAGGTATGGATTGGCAAAGCAATAACAACATTCCTATAGTTGGGGAACATATGGAAGTCAAAACAACTGTCAACCAATATCAAAGTCAGAATCTTCAGTACTAACGTCAAGATAGTTCTACTATACGGAGATAAAACTTTGAGAAGTACTACAACCATCATCAAAAAAGTACAAGTACGTTTAAACAATTGTCTACGAACGATACTCAATGTCCGTTGACCGGATAGCATCAGCAACAACCTACTTAGGGAGAGAACAAACCAACTTCCAGATGAAAATGAAATTAGGAAAAGATTATAGAGGTGGATAGGACATACATTGAGGAAATCATCAGACTGCATCACGAGACAATTCCTATCTTGAAATCCTGAAGGGAAGCGTAAAAGAGAAAGATCATGGAACACCTTGCATCGAGAGTTGGGAGAAGACATGAAAGGAAGGAATAGCGATTGGAAGGGATTGCCCAGCACAGGGTTCTATGGAGAGTGCTGGTGGGCGGCTTATGCTCCTCCACGAGGGGTAACAGGCGAAAGTAAGTAAGTAATAATGGTTGTTGTAAACAATACTATGCAAAAAGAGGGAAACAACGATAAACGAAAATAAAACACACATCATTTATAAGGTAAATTGCAACAACTGTTACAAGCACTACATGTGGCAAGACCACCCCGCTCTTTATATACGTCCACCTGAACAACAGTAAGCTATTAGGGAACATCACATTGTTCTTGTTCATATCCACACATGTGGACAACTATGGACATCTGTCCGATTGAGGAAACATCAAAATATTGGATAGAGGGAACCCAAAGAAACACAGAAAATTTTTAGGAGCTTGTCAATCTGATAAAGCATCAGTCAAAGACATATCAGAATCGATAAAATCAGAATTCATAAATAGCAAGGTCAGAGTTCAGTTCAGGTGAGGAAACAATCAGAACACATTTAAATAACGACCACACAATTGTGGATAAAACCAACCATATTCCAGGTCAACAGAACAAGCTATTGGTCAATCGTGAAGAAAATCTAATAGCTCGCTTCTCTTTGACGTACTTACTATGTTGTTCAGAAGAACAATAAAAGCTGCACAACTAAACCACCCAGATCAGTGACTACAAAAGCTCCAAAAGTTTTATATTAAAACTACAGCTTGATAGAAGTATTTCGAAGAGGTCACAAATAATCACTGTTCTACAACGCTACTGTTCACATATCCTTTCTACGTATCAATCCCAGAGCCAATTAAACCAACAGTCAAGGGTGATGGGATGCGGAAATATGTCTGAATTATGGGTTGAGGTATATCAGTGTATGGAATCCAGGTTGACCAGTTGTCATAAGAGATGCGCAGCACGATCTACCCAGATGTTATGTTGCAGATGCTCAACCAAGCCTCTACAGTTAGAGCCGTGTACAGGAAAACTAATAAGTTTAGCATCAATGTCGAAGGCTTACAAAGCTATTTATCGTATGAATTAACTTATCACTACAATTTCTTTTCAGTTGTCTTCTGGTCATGGCTCCATTCCGCTACATAGCTTTATATTTGGATATAAAAACTAATCTCAATTATATGAGCTCAGACATTCATTTGTGAAATCTACAGACGTCTGCCTTTCACTGATCTTTTATTGCATACTTCAGGTACACAATAAGGACCATTAACAAAGTTCAATCCGTTTTCAGTAACTGACATATTCTAATCCAGACATTAAATAATTATTTACGTCTGATTTAATTCCTACACTTCCGATATCTCACTAATATCTAATACAACTTTTAGAAAAGTTATTTCGAAGACTTTCAATGATATAGATTACTAACATTTTGGTTGAGAAAGAGAGCAAGGTGAATATGAAAAAAGGCCATCAAAGAAATATTCAATAACCACATGTTATCTACTTTATATAAGAAATAAATGACAACATACAAGGATAAATAAAAAATGAATTTTTTTCATCTATTTTTTTATGAATCAAGTGTCATATTATATATAGTGGGTTGAAGAATGCTGGTCGGCGGCCTATGCTCCATTAGGAATAAGAGGCGTAAGTAAGTAAGAACTTATCGATCTTACCAGCGAAGCATAAAACCCGTACGAGCAGTCTGGAGTTCTCACTGGCCCTGCTTTCCGCCTAGCCCAAGCAGTTAAGTCTAGAACATCAATCTCAGCCTCTGCGATATGAATCACTTATTTCAAACATACTGGGTTTATATACTGACCAGACAGACCACATCATACCATAAAGTAGGAAACAACATTTGTACAAGAACTAGCCAAATGTGGCTGTGAATGAGAGAGGTAGTAATTAATAAACAGGGCATAATTCAAGGATGGTAGATCGTATAATAATAGCTCATAGGTTAGAATAAAGCTCATAATAAGAGGGACACGAATATGAAAAGTTTAGTTACTTAACAATGATACGATATATATATATATGCGTGTTACTTATACTAATAACAGAACAAAGAGACCTTCGTGCGATCTGTCTGCTTGTGCACCAATCGATAAACTCTGTAGTCGTTTTCGAATTATTGCTGTTGTCCACAAATTATTTATCAAATTATCATACCAGAAATCAAGAAAAGGTTGAATGTGAAATGTATGGTTTTTCGAGAAGTTCTAGTCAGCTTATCAGTTTTAAATGAATTAATCACAAGCATTGTTGTCGATGTGTTCAAACCATCATTTATAAGACCGTATTCACTACGCTTAACAGTAATCGAGTTGTGACCACCTTCAGCGATAACTAAATTTGACTGATCAAAAATTAAACAATTGTGTATTTTCATTCAAATATACTTCTTATTTTAAAGCTAATTCTTTGTGCTTAATGAAAAGTTATACATAACAAATACGCTAATAATTATAAAAATAGTAGGCAGAGACCATTCTAGTTATGTTTGAAAATAACAGGTTTACTGCACATAGATTCAGTTTATCAAAACGACTTTTCTCATCATTTCTTTCATAATCTACTCAGTCTTTTTACTACTAAAACGTGATTTTCGTCGTTTTTCAAAAACAAAGAATGCTAATTAATGTATGTAAACATCCCACGTCAACAACAGTCAAAGTTATTGACACAAAGATTGGATATAGTTCATCGGATAAGACTGTACTCTAGAGTAGCCTTCTAAAAAGTTACTTTCAAGAAATCTACCGACACATTTCAAAGCCCTGTACCAAAACCCAGGTAGTGTCCTTAATTTCAAAACTCGATAGTAAGTGTGAACATTTACTACTACAGATTGGCTTTCTTACCGATCTTCTAGGAACAACTACTTAGTGGATAGCGGTGGAAACCTGTTATCTGTGGACATTCTGACCTTCAGAATTAAGATGACATCGTCTTGTTATGTTCATATAGAGACCGTACAAGTAACCACGGACAGTATCATGAAGTACAGACTGTGCTTTAAGTGTTAAAATCAATAAAAGTTCTTGTGCACAATCTCAGTAGTGAAGCGACTAGAAAAATTCAGTCAGTTGTGTTAGACGAGACTAGTCTACATTCAATGAAAGCAATGTGGCATTATTCTAACTGGTAAAGGTAGTGTTTAAAATGTTTGCATGTGCACACCTATAATGGTAACATGACTCTTCTGAACTGGACATTTGTGGGAGATGTATCTAACCAGCATTATTTCTTATTATAGACACTAAGTACGGCAAGGGGCTCATCTTAAGACACAGGTGTTGAGGCTTTATTTCCGGCTTTGTATTACGTGATTTATCCACCAATCAAAATACGACTTTTATAATCTTAGCACTATGCCAAACCAATGACGTTCGACCGGTATGGGTAGTCTAGCGTCCTTATTGGTCCTATGTTCGCCTAGCCCGTCCACTTGAGTCCAGAACACCAATACCAGCTCCCACTATGCGAATCGAGTCATTTAATTCAGACATACTGGGTTTATATATCAATCAAACAGACCGCAACGCACCATAAAGTAGGAAATAATATTTGTACAAAATAAAGCTAAAAAGTGACTGTGAACGTGGGAGGCAGTAGTCAATAAACTGAACATAGCTTAAGAACAGTAAATCGTACAATAATAAATGATAGGTCAAAATGAAGCTTATAATAAGAGGAATATAAATATACATAATCTAATTATTGAATAGTTATACCATAAGAATGTATAGATAATATTAGTCAATTAGGATGTCTCAGAATTTACTCGTGATTTAATTTTCGCTCGGATATAACAACAGGTACCTGAAGGTTCCATCTATAACCCCAAAGGTGGTTGCATATAGAGTACTACTAACTGTCACCGAGATTGATTAGAATTAAAAAGGTTACCTCATTATATGACCCAATTGGATAAAGGATAGTTATACTGAAGTATGGTCTGGCAATACCCGATACCTTATCACAATGATCATGCCTCCCAGTAGCCTGAAACAATCAAACATGACTCCAAATTGAAATAATTAGTAATTTATACATACCTTCAACACATACACTAAAAGCGGATTTCTTTGCAAAACTTTAGATTTTCTTTGCGAGATGAAACTTCCAGCATATAAGTCGTACCATGCTTTCTACAACCTTAATGATAAAAAAATACTCAATTTACAAAAAAATATAAGGTAAGCCGATGCTTTACATGAGTAATACTGGCTAGTGAAGCAGGTCGGAAGAAACCTAAGGGAAACTAAAGCGAAACGTGACATCAGTCTGTGGAGTTACTGACTGTGGGTCTGAGCCATGTAGGAGAACTTAGACCATTTGGTTTGGGTCTGTATGATAACCACAATCAGTGCCTATAGACCTTGGGTGACATGGGTCAAGATCGTTCGCAGTGGAGTAGATAGATTCACTGTTTTTCTTCCTTTCGATCTTGAATCCCGGTATCCCCTTCCACTCTACTTTTAAAGCTATATTCCCAATATTTAGTCTTTCGATTTATCACTGCTAGTACATTATTTCGATGTCTATTGTTATAATTATTTTGTCGCGTTAATCAGGTATGGCAACTTGAGCTGACGCACATCTGCGATTGGCTTTATGTTAATAATGTCTGCTAATTTATACTCAACAAAATTATTTAGTTTAAACACATAAACATTGGTACAAGTAGGTACCAAATAGATATGCACCACGTAAATCATTCTATTTGCGTGAGGGCTGGGATACGTCCCAGTTGCCCAAACCGAAGTAGGCGGTTTTCTTAGGGGTGCACTCCTCGAGCCTTTGACCTAAAGGTCTAATCCACAAAGCAGTAGAGTAACACTGGGAGATGCAGTCCAATGGTAGCCGGTGAACAACGACTAGTTCATACGCCGTTTGTTCCCTCAGGACACTGGAACCCATGTGTATCATTGGTTTAGAATCAGGGTTTTCCAACTCCCCCTGGGTGGATCAACCGTATCCACCAACCCTGTTAAAGCGCCGGACACTCGCTTTTCGTCCTCTCAATTTCGTAAAAAGTACCCCCGCCGCGAGAGGGCAGACTTCCCTGACAGTGGTTTTATGCACGCGGCCATGTGAGAGCATTTGAGAGAGCTGACTCTCCCCACTCTTGGCCGTAACCAGGGCAAAAAATACTTTCCATATACAAAACTAATGTCCGGTTCATAAATCAAATGATGGAATAAACACTTAACAATGAATATTATGCACTAGTAACATATAAGGATACGAATCCAGATTTTTAGCATTCCAGAGATCATTCATGGGACAAATCATGTTTGACAAAATTTGTCTTTCCTTTTGGTTTCCTATTGACAAGCCGTGCTTCAACTAAAGACATAAACAATTCTAGATAGTGATAATTGCAGCAAGAACATATCATAATTAAATAACTTAATAGTGACTGACGCTGAAGATTTTCCATCCAACCTGTTATTTCATACAACACCTATAATACAGAATAAATCTGTTATAGATAAATAAGAAAAAAAACTACTAATTGGATGAATCTATTAGAGTAAAAATAGTGGAATGTTGAATTATAACAAAATCAAATGATTTCTTCCTCCACAAAAAAAATAAAAATAAAAATGTTTGTTAGTCAAAAAGTGCAACTAAACATCAAGAGATAAATAATTAATAGAATAAGTAAATTCAATGATAATATACACGACACAGTTGAATAGACAGTTTACGAAAAAATAAGTGCAATAACGATAGGATCCAAATATGAAAGAATAATAGGCACATAATCAAGCTAGTGTGAAATTTGATTACATTTTCTAAAATATAAGAAAAAAAACAAATAGCGAGAACCTGAAGATTTTTCATACTGAATGTTTTATTTCCTGCATTCATTCGGAGGTAATTCATCAGATACACACAGACGTACAGAAATGAGTATGAAAAAGAACAGACTTCAATAATATCACAGGTAAAATATTTCAGAAATTTTTAGCACATTACTATGTCATTTTTAGGAGAATAAGAGTAAATTTGTTCTAAAAGACAGGACAATATGAAGTGACAATGCTGCACTTCTAACCGCTAACAACAATGATAGTCTCAGTATAAACCAGTTACTATATTTTGTGGCTTCATTGATAACACGAGATCAATGCGGTTTAATATTTTGTTTCATTATAATCACCTATACCATTTATAGTTGGTGAAATATATTTGTGTTTACTAGGTGGGATTAAGTGCCCTGGTAGAGTTTCTGGAATTTCACCACCGTTAACAGCTATGTTGACCAAACGCTTAGCAACAATGAATTCATCGATATCAAGATAACCGTCTTTATCAATGTCTGAAAGTTTCCATATACGACTTAATGTAATATTAGGTAAATGAGATTCCATCAATTTCGCTTTTAATCGTCCGCTTCCACAAAGGAGACCATCAACTGGTTGAAGACTTTCAAATTCCTAAAAACAAAAACAATGCGAAGACGGATAACATTAAAAAAAACTAGATTGAAATACTTTGAAAAAATTAATCAAAAACATTAAATATTCTAATTCGTTCCACGTTTGTATTACCACCTGCCCGATAGATTGACCTTAACTTGGTAATCAAACGTCTAATAATGGCACCAATAATATGCTAGCAAATCTTGGAATGTGTCAATAAAACAGAAACTTCTTACTGTCGGAGGAATCCTAAAACGACCCTCATCAAAATTTATAGAGGCCCTGAAATACCAGGACACCAATCAGCGTTGAATAAAAACTTCACATAAACATCTGGAAAATGCAGAAACACATGTCGCGATCTTGATTGGGTAGTTATCGATGCTGCTATATATAGTGTGGTTTCATAAGTTTCTGTAAGCCCAAGGTCACGTATAACTTTACAAATACCATCGTTTTTTCTGTACATAAATTAACTTTGGAATAAAGCTTTTACTCGCAATTCGCGTCGTTTCTTAGTTGTTCCAGTTGACGTGTAGAAGTAGATAAGGTTATAAAACCGGCTAGGAAAGTTTAAGGGTACTTGTAGCAACATTTATTACTTACACTTGTTGGTATCACATTAGAATTTCTATTGGCTAACTTCCCAAATTATTAGGCGAGTTAAGCTGGGTGCAATATCTACCTAATCCATAAGAGGTCACAAACTACTTATACAGTCAGTCAGCTACAACGTAGGACCAGATACATATATGCAAAGTTGCCACATCTCATTAGCACACCAAGATGAACACAAAATTCATAAAAGCAATTACTTCAATGGTGGTAATATATAAAAGGAAGATTGCATATAAGGATATAGTACAGGAAGAAAGAATTAGTTCGTAGAAGGAAAGATATGAAGCGATTTTAATCTCATAGTTTAAAGGGGAGATAGAGAGTGTATACACCTACGCCATTGTGATCGATTCTGAGCCATGTCACCAAGAGTCTCCAACCATTGGTTACGATAGTCACGCGGACCCCAACCAAGTAGTTTGCACCTACCAACATGGCTCAGACTAGAAGTTAGTGACTTCAAGCACTGACGCCATGTTTTGGTTTGGCCGCACCTAATTTTCTTTCAACCCTCTCCAACACCGTTTAGCATTTCACGTCGTGGTAATCGATGTTAAGGCACACGCAACACGTGGCCCAACCATCTCAGTAGATGGAGATTTACAACCTCATGAACTGATTTATCATCATTCTCTAATACTCTGCGTCCAACATCACCATTACTTACTCGGTGATCCCAGCAGATGCGAGCAATATCTCTAAGGCATCAGTGGTCAAATACTAGTAGCTTACGAGTATCTTCTACTCTTAATGGCCACGCTTCGCAGCCGTAAAGTAGAACAAAACGAACTGCTGCTCAGTATATTCATCTCTTAAATGATAGACGGATATCTCGCCTTCGCCATAGGTGACGTAAATTGGCAAAAGCCAAACGAGCTTTTCGAATCCGTACTGAGATTTCGTCAGACACCAACCCATTAGGGCTGATCACACTTCCAAGATAAGTGAAGTTGCCAACGCGTTCGACTGTTTCATTCCCTATCCTTAGTTCAGGTGTTGACGCAGGCCAGTTCTGAAGCAACAACTTGCATTTAGAGGGGGAGAAGCGCATCCCAAACATTCTGGCATTGTTTCTCAGCGCTATCAAGACTCTGAATTTTATCAGCGTCTTCACCACACAGGACAATATCATCTGCGTATTCTAAGTCGATAAGTGGACCTCCTGGTAGGAGATCGATGCCCAAAAATTCAGTCGAGAGCGTTGCTTATATAGTATACTACAGTCGTAAGAACAATAAACACACTGGTTTTAAACTACGACTTTTTCATAATGAAATAAATAAGGGATTTTTGTATTGTATATAAACCTCTCCAAAATATTTGAATATCAGTTAGAATTGCAGATAACCTAAAAGTAGGAGAAAATTGATCGCTTCAGTGAATTAGTCATAAATAAGTTGCGACAAGCGCAAAATAACGTCCATAAGAATCGTGCTATAATTAATCACTTTTCAGGTAATCGGGCAATGATCTTAATGCAATGAGCACACATATTGTGTATGAAATATGAGGAAATTATTTCAAAGGAGAATAAGAGTGAACCTACAATGAACCATAATATGATGCCTTCAACTGGTTTGGTGAGCAAGAGCACTACCAATTGAAGATACTATGAGACAATGGCTCGAAATCAATGCGGACAGTGGAAAAGTACGCTACATAGTTTTTCGAGATTTAAAAAACACTACTATTCTATACTTGTCTCGTTTTCTCAAAGTTTATTTTGACGCCGCAATATTCTGATGATTTTCTCTCTGTAAGCAGTATATTAAACAAGGTTTTATTTAGTTTACGTCAAGTTATCAGTCTGTGCTGACTTCTAACTCGAGTCCATTTAGGGAAAACTATGAAGGGTAGAAAAGCCAAAAATTATTTACTGTCTACAGGTAATCAGACTTTGCCTATACGAATTAATTTTCACCACTGAAGATACTAGAGGTCATACACTGTCTTAGAGCTTTTTTGATGGGACGTATAAAATACTCCTGATAGTTTATAAAAATGAGTGGGAATGAAAAACTTTATCCAGAAAACAATATGCATAAAAATCCTAATTTTGGGAGTTACATCAATAGCTAGTATTGAACAGGGAGATCAGGTCATATAGTTTTATAAAATGAGTTCACAGGCATATCAGAAACCTTTAGATATTTTTACTCAAACCGATCACTTTAAGGACGTGATTAATCTGAATAAAATTTACATTAAGAAAGGAAGGAGCGCTGCAGTTCAATAAAAAGTTTATTGAAGGATTGAAAGATACGCGTAATAGTTTAACCAACATAAACTTACTTTTATGAGCTCATCTTTATCGTCCTCTAAAGCCGACTTATCACTATATCGTCCACGATTAATAGCCATATCAGCATCTGCCGTAAATGGACTATCAATTACACTATCGTTGAAAGCTCCTCCTTTGATTAAACTTTTACCCTGTTGAACAGCCGCTGTTTGTTCCTATGAGGAAAGTTAATAAAAACTTGTTTAGTGATATAAGATTTTTAGCGACGAATATAGTGAAAAATATAATATTATAAAGATACATTCAAGCACATTAATTTTACTGTGGACTGAATTAAAATATTAGACAAACCAAATTGATAAGGTGGCATATTATTTCTTGTTGTCTGGCAAATTAGTGCTTAACTTTTATTCTAAAAAACCTTTAATGAACAGATTAGACGAACTATGGCTATCAATGAAATCCTGGACGCGCGTTTCGTCACTTTTGAGACTCATGAAAGGGATCCATCAACGAATTAATTTAAGCATTCCCAAATAAAGATATGAACTTTCAATGAATCCTTACCGAAATCTAGTTACTTGGGCGGTGAAATAATGAGGGACTTTTAAAAATCATCAAAACGAGAGAAAAGTTGGACCCACTTCAAGTCTGGAAAGAATTTCTGAATTGTTCAACTAACTCTCTTGCTGAGAAATAAACCAGTTTGGTGGGACTGCATACCACTGATGAATAAATGACAGTGATTGTGAAAAAACTGACAGAGACACAAAGGACAAAGTCATGCAAATACGTAATTTGTGATTTCTGACGCTAAACCAAAGTTATTATGGATTCCTTCTGGCTAAAAAGTATTTTAACGGTAAGAGGATAATTATAATAAAGTGAGAGATCCGTTTATGATTTCTAAAAATCAAATTAGATCTGATAGTGTCTCACACTTAAAAAATGCACTTCGATTTACTACCTGGTGGCTTCAAAGATGAAAATGAAGCTAAAGAAGCAATGGACAACTGGAGAAAAGTGATTACAAATGTTCAATAAAGCCTTCTTTCGAAATACTGACCAACTCAACGAATTCAAGACAGCTCTCAACAACAGGTTCCAAGCATTACAAGATCTACTCAAAGAAGAGGAAACTACTATGGAGGACAACTGGAAAGGTGTTAAAGAAGCAGTAACTTCAACGTGTCAGGAAGTGCTGGGACGCAAGAAGCATCAACGTAAGGAATGGATCTCTATCGAAACCCTGGACAAAATTAGAGAAGGGAAGAACATGAAGACAACAATTAGCAACAGCCGAACGCGAACAGAGAAAATCAAGGCACACGATGAATGCACAGAACCAAACTAGCGAGTGAAGAAGAGCATCAGAGCCGACAAGCAGAAATACGTGGAAGACCTAGCAATGATAGAGGAATAAGCTGGAGGAGAAGGAAATCTGAGACAAATATATAATACAACGAAGAAACTGGTAAGGAAATATGGTAAACCAGAGAAGCCGGTCAAGGACAAAGAAGGCAAACCAATCACCGAGATCCAAGGACAGTGGAACAGGTGGGCAGACCACTTTGAAGAACTCGTGAGTAGACCGGTCGCAATGAATCTATCGGACATCGAAGCAGCATACACTAACCTCCCTGTAGATATTACTCCATCAACAAGCGAAGAAATCACGATAGTCATCAGACAAATAAACAATGAGAAAGCAGCACGACCTGACAACATACCAAACGAAGTATTGAAGTTAAACACAAGGTCGACTGCAAAGATGCTCCACATTCTCTCCAGAAAGAACTGCGAAGAACAAGTACCACAAACAGACTGGAAAGAAGCACACCTCACCAAGATACCAGAGAAAGGAGATCTCAGCAAATGTGAGAACTACACAGGCATCACATTACTATCGGTACTAGCAAATGTTTTCAACAGACTGATGATTAACCAGATGAAATATTCAATGGACGCCAAACATCCAGATCAACAGACCGGGTCCCATGAGGATCCGTCATGAACAGACCACATCGCGACAATACGGATCATTGTTAAACAATCAATTGAATGGAACTCGTCACTACACATCAACATCCTTGACTATCAGATAGCATTCGACGGTGTGGATAGGAGAACCTAATCGAACATTCTTCGACACTATGGAATGAGTAGCTGAGAACATCGTCAACATCATTCGGAATTCATACGACGGATTACGCTGCAAAGTCATGCATGGAGGACAGACAGATCACATATGCATTTCAAGTGATGACTGGTGTCAGACAGGGCTGCTCAGTCTCCCTCCCTTTCTCTTTCTTCTGGTTTATGAAGACCTCTACATCAGAGGTGGAGCATGGGATACAGTGAACAGGTTGGATGCAACTAGACGATTTGGACTTCTCAAATGACCTAGATCTCCTATCCCATATGCACCAACAAATTCAGGTGAAGACAGTCAGTATGGTGGCAGTTTCTCTTGCAATAGGTCACAACACACACAAGAGATAAAGCAAGATCTTGAAATATCATGAGATAAGATTTTGCTGTATTGCGGAGAGTGATGAAGGCAGTTACTAGGGTGTGGTTAATTATGCGAAGTTATTATTAATATGTTTGTGGACAGATATTTAAAATCTTGCAAAATACCGGAGGGTGTTATCTTATCAGATGTTAACCATCCACTTCATTTTCCTAGTATATGATAAACCGTTTACTGGTTACATTTTTCCACAAATGAAATGTGTATGCTACAGTTTTAGTTATATGGCGGATAGCATTTATTTTAACATATTTACGATTTTTACTTGGTTTCTCTTTGATATTTGTCTAGTATATATTGTGAATCATTTTAAATCATTCAACAGTTGAAAACTAAAGCGATCATGAGCATTGGTTTTCTTAGGATTGCAAGCACACTTTGCTGATAGATAAAAAGTATGGAGTTCGAGTTCAGATATTCGATGTCGAATATTTTTTGTTGCTATTAAACCGAACGAACTAGGTTAAACTATCTTCACATAGTTCTAAAAGCTGCATAAGTGATGATCATGAACAAACATAAGTCTTCACAACAACACCCGTTTGAAACATGTTTTAAATTGTTAAATAAAGTCAACCGTAAATTTCTAACAGTAACCTTTAGCGATGCGCTGTGATGTGTGAATTTTTGTTGTTTATTTAGTAAAAAAAGACATCAAATTTAATATTGTTAAAAGATGAAAGCTTCTGTACGGCTTAGGCAGTACGTTCAATATAAACTTAGTAAGGTAAAACTATGTATTTGAGTGTGCTTGAAACTTTGTTTGACCATAACATTTTTTATACACAGAAACCATCTTTGAAAAATCGTAAAATAGAGGTCAAGTAATGCATGTTGACTAATGTACAGTAAACTTACAATTGGTATCATCTGCATTAATTTAGGGATCTCCTGGGTTAACATAACGTCGACTTGTTCAATAAGCCTTTCTTTAAGAGAGGGGAAGTTTGTAAAATCCTGTTCACTCAAAATACTCTGCATATGAGAGAGTTTAGGGAAGTCGCCAGAAGATATATGGTGTAAACGTGAAATAGAATCATATATCTGCTGTAAATTGTTAATAAGTTCTTGCTTCTTTTGTTTTTCCCAACGATTGAAGGCATCTGTTTCTTAAGATGACCAATTATGTAGGCATGTACCTAGGTAAGATCAGAAGGATAGTTACTCGTCGTTAGTAAAATATGTGAAGGTAGACATTTTCTACAGTTTAGTCGTATGCAGGATCAGCTTTTACCAGTAAACGCATACATATTCCTCTACGAGCTGTTAATTACAATTATCAATCGAGGGTCCAAAGTAATGACCTATTCACCAAGCTCTAAAAGACTAAACGGGGTTTGGACCTTATAAACTATCTAATATTAAACCCTGTATACGAAAGTACACAGCACGAAGTTACACCCAACGTTGGACCCAAATAGATCACATCGCTATCAGCCACCGATGGAGGGGCTCGATAGAAGACTGTCGCTCATTCTGGAGCACATGCTTAGATTCAGATCATGCTCTAGTGCGAGCGCGTATTTGCTTGCGTCTTACTGGACGTAGGAAAGACGCTGCAAGGAAACCTCTTAGGGGCCTACTTAATGATAGTCAAGCTAAGAGTATATTTCAAGAACAACTAGGAAAACAGTCAGCCACACGTATGTGATGCCCACCCCGATGCAGCATGGGATGATATCCGAAAAGCTGTGGAAACAGCAATGATATCTGCTGCTGTCCACTCTCCCCATTCTTGTTCAACTTTGTGGTCGACGTACTTTTAGAGATAACACTCTCCTCATCTAAATTTCCAAGGGTTGAACTTCTACCGGGAGGTTCACTTGTTGACTTAGAATATGCTGATGACATAGTTTTATTTAGTGAAGACGCTGACAAAATGCAGTCTTCTGACCACTCTAAGCAACAATGCAGGTATGTTCGGGATGCGATTCTCTCCATCGAAATGCAAAATGTTGCTTCAGGATTGGGTTACATCGACACCCGAACTAGTGATAGGGAGTGAAGTAGTTGAGTGTGTCGACCGCTTCACTTATCTTGGAAGTCTCATCAGCCCTTGTGGTCTGGTGTGTGACGAAATCTCAGCACGGATACAGAAGGCTCGACTAGCTTTTGCCAACTTGCGTCATTTATGGCGTAGGCGAGATATCCGTCTATCAACCAAAGGACGGGTTTACTGCGCAGCAGTTCGTTCCGTCCTACTTTATGGCAGTGAAACATGGCCGGTAAGAGTAGAGGATATTCGTAGGTTACTAATATTTGATCATAGGTGTCTTCGAAGCATTGCTCGTATATCATGGGACCATCGATTAAGTAACACAGTTGTTAGGAAACGGGTACTAGGTAAGGATGGCAAATCAATTGATGAAGTGGTGAAACTTCATCAGTTGAGATGGCTGGGACACGTGTTACGTATGCCCAACTACCGACTACCTCGACGTGCGATGTTCAGTGGTATAGGAGTAGGTTGGAAGAAAGCTAGAGGCGGCCAAACCAAAACATGGCACAAGTCCATGAAGTCACTGACAAGTGGACTGAGTCATGTTGGTAGGTGTAGACTAACTGGTTGGGGACCACGAGATGATAGAAACCGATGGTTAGAGACCCTGAATGACATGGCTCAAAATCGTTTGCGATGGCGCAGGTGCATCCACTCTTTGTGTTCTCCCAAATTCTTATCTTCTGAATTCTCCATGTCCCTTTTTTTCTCCATCCAAATTCATTTCACTGTATTATACTCTTTAAATAACATCTCCAAACACTAATTTTCCCGATTAATGCTTATACTCTTATTACCTCTACCACTACGTGATTTGAATCGACAACTGCATCTCTGTGCTAAGGTGGTGTGGCAACTCGAACTGATGTACGTACGTACGAAGTTCTACGTTGTTACTGACTGACCTGTAGCTTTCAAAGATTAATACAAGAATGTAGACCTGTCTCGTTACATCATTTATCTTAATAAAAGTATATTCTGTGTAATTTTTCAGTATTTAATCTACGTATCTCACTCTGTTAAAAAGTTTATTTTGTCTTGTTTAGTGTCTATGTTCTCTTTTTCAAAATATATCCCACTAATTTCTTTGTAGATTGCTTTAACTGATTCTGAATTGCACTAAATGAGTCAAGTGAAAGTAAGGTTTTCAAATCATAATCTGCTTATGCCTTCAACGAGGTGGGAAAACATCGAAAGTTTATAACCTGATAGTTTATATTGGTTCAGATTGCACAAATCCATATCAGGTCAATGAAGGTATATCAGCACGAATAAAAAGTGGAAGTAACAAAACCAATAGTTATAGAAAAACCCAAAAAAATAGGTCAATAAATTGATGGAACGGGTAGATAAAAGTAAGGATTGATACTACGTCAAGCAACTAAGTTATAAAAAATGGACATATGTAAACCAGCGATATTAGTATTTTAGATATAGGACCTGAAGTTTCCAAATAGACTTGCGGAGTTCCGTTTTTTGAGCTGGGTGGTTATATGTACATCTCTCTGTACAGCAACCAATTAAATTTCAGAACTTAGTAGGTCTATTTTGCCATGGTTTGGGTGCCCTTACCGATATTTTTAGTTATTACTATGGGAACCAGTATAATGCACCGGAGTTAGTGTATTCGAATGAAACGTGTTACAAGCACATTAGTGAAGGTTCGGAAAAAATGATTTATTTATTTGGACACAATGGTACAAGGGGGTACCACATATATATGCGCCACACCGGAACAAATGATGGTTTCAACATACGCAAGCAACGCTTTGAAGATACTAAATATCGTATACTAGCAACCCAATCAATTCTTTTACCTTCAAAACCATATTTCAAAATTGTAAGGAAATACATATAGTATTACTTTAAGGTTTACTTGCTTTTTATGACAAGTTGTGTAAATCAGCTGTTATAAACAACCGAGATGGTACGTCACACTTTAATTCGATTGCAGTAAAGACCACAACTGTCTTGATCAGCATAAAAGCTGAAGTACCAAGGTGCTATTTGGTTAAGTCAAAGATCATCAAGACTTGGGACCAACTTATTTATTTATTTGACACATATATATTGGTACAGGAGTGCGCCAAATATATATGCGCCACACAAAACAATGAGAATTTAAAAGAAAAAAGTGGGGAACGTAAAAAAATATAAAAAAAAACAAACAAACAAAAAACCAACTGCCTGAATTTCTAGTAAAACGTAGAGTTTATAATGGACAAGTAAAGGATACAAACCTTGAAATTGTTGCAGTTTTCTTATGTTTCTAGTGGCCCAGTAAACGGAAGAAAGAACTCGAATCAGAAATAGCGTGTTACTTATTCCGATTTAGAATGACGTCTTTTCATTTAATCTTGCTTAAAGTAGATTTAAAGGTGCTTGCTATTGTAGGGTTCAATTACCCAACAGAATATGTATGAACCAAAGACTTAACGAGCGCCAAACCTATATTTTATTGAGGCACCCTAACATCCACAACAAAAACGCATTTGGAAACCAGCATAAACAAAAGCTGATTGGTACAACAAAATAATGAAGATCAAACTTACTTTAGCTAGCCTTGCTCGTCGTATCATATCATTTAGTTTTCGCATGGCCGCGTTAGAAGGCAAACTTCGAAGGTCTTTAAATAAATCCTGTGACTCCAACTCAAATAAGTGACGGTTAACGTCATAGCGCAGTGGTCGGTCCCAAAATGACCCGATAAATACTCTAACAACCTCCGGAGTCCCTAATACTTTACCAAGACCCCACATTAATGCTCCATAAACGCGCATCAATTGTTGTGCATCAATCATATCAGCTTTATTAAGAACAATACGGACTTTGTCGTCATAACCTCTGAGAGATTCTATCACTCGCCTAAACTCATCTGATATATCGAGTTTATAAGCGTCGAAAAGTAGGATTATTCTGTCAACATGTTCTGCAAACCACTGAACAACAGCTGTGAAGTCATAACCACGATCTAACCTTTGTTTTTCACCACTTAATATACCAGGTGTATCAATAATGACTATGCTGTCCAGAACAGGATTCCGAATTTGGCAACATTGAAAGCGGTTCAGAAAGTTATTTCCGAATTTCGAAAGAGGGCGAAAAGGTTTTTGGGCGTCGACAACAAGAGCATTCCCAGGAATAATGCCTTCATCCCCAGACATAACAACACTAAATCTGTCGGTTGTCGGCTCTGGGCCAATATGCATACCCGGGAAGGCGGATCCTAGAAGGTATTTGATAAACGTGGTCTTGCCTGTAGAATACTGACCCAAAAGAAGAATCATTGGTTTGGAACTAAATTCCCCTGCATCAAGTGTTGGTGAATGAAACTGTGGGAACAAATATGTCACTTCCAAAGGCTTCAGTCTTCTGTCGTAAAGATCTCTTAACCCCTCCACTACACTAGAAAAATTCCAGTTTTCTTCCTTGGTTTGGGAGAATTTCATGTCTGGAATGCAAATACTTAGTATAGGTGTAGCGAGTAACTCGATCAGTTGGCTGGAATTGCCGTTGTATTAAATCCCCCGATGATATAAGTGTATATTCTCAGTTCAGTCTGCTTCCAACTAACTGCGACTGCCCGACCAAATGTACTGATCCAGCCAAATAACCAATAATTCCAAACCAATGGTAGGCCCGATCGACAGTGTTGTTGGTGTTACACCGCAAACCTTTAACCTTAGCGCTAGAACAACGTTGGAATGAAGTGCCATAAAAGTGTTGATCACTTAACCAAAATCTGTAAGGACTTTTTTAAACTTCAGAACTTTATTTCACAGAACATACGGATTATTTTAACTTTGAAACATACTTCTGTGTGGTAGAGAAGTTCTATTGTTAGTGGAAATATGCGGTCGCTGTAATGTTATTTCTTAAACTAAAGAGTAAAACAGTTTAGTCAATGATAGTAACAGCGATTGAAAGGTAGTGTCTAAAATAATAACTAAGGAAACGAGATAGCTTGTAGCGACTCACATTTATCACGAGAACACGACTGGTTTAATAAAGGCAATTATTATTATAACCAGCTGTACCAGTGCTTGTTTTAATGTGCTTTTGTTTGACTGTGCTAATGACAGCTCTATTTGGCTTCCATTCTTTTACTTACACCTTTGATTGTAACTTCGCGCGAATTCGGTTACGTTCTGTAACCAAGCTTGTATTCTGGCACGATCTCGGTATCCTTTCGATGCCACGAGATCGCCAGCGAATACATATCGATTTGGTTCATTAACTGTCTTCTGATATTTGGCTTCTCGGAGATTTTATGGATTTATTTGGTTACGTCCAACCTTCGCCTTCTGATTAGCATGGCACGTGTTTCTTGGTAGCGGTGTTCATAGTCAATTTCGACTCGACGCCACGCTACAAGCTTTCGGACATTTTTAGAAAGACTCTGGAAAAGATCTTATTGCTTTGGTATTCGCTGAATCATCTGATGTCATTCGGTGATAGAAATTACTTCCGAGCTGTACAATTTTCTGTAATTCTTTAATTTATCTTGTATAACGTTGAGTTATTTGAATAAGTGGTTGGATAATCTTCAGATACCCACTTTGGTATTGAGATTATTTTGATATTTCTTCACATCTTCGGTGTGTGTTTGATTGATAAGGATTCGATAAACGTGCTCAAGAACGGATAATACAGAACGTCAGTACACTTTTGAAAACAGCATGACTAAGATTTCTTGATATTCCTAACATTGGAATGGGTTAATTAACTAAATACGTTATTGTATGTCAGCTTCAGTGAAAATTGTAACACAACTTGTAACGGTAACAACATGCTGAAAGTACCTACAAAGTGTTTTGTTGAATATTATTTTTAATTCATTGTTCTTTTTCCCTGTCTTATTATTTATCCTCAACTCAGTTTTCTTTTCTTTCCTTCAGTCTTCTTTGCTGAAACTATCATTACTTGACTTTGGATCAAGATTTACCCTTATTACTTAATTTCACTGTCGTATGTTGATGGGCCATTGTTTAGGTCTTGTTTGGCCAAACCCGAGGTACAGAGTGGGTTAAGTGATGACTGCTGACCTTTGACTGTGCTAGGAACGGTTACTGGAATCCCTAAGGTTGGGTATTTGACCCGATCTTATCGGGAATTTCGGCCTCCACATGACTCTGTAGAGTGGCGTCGAGTCCCAATTGACTATGAACACCGCTACAGAGAAACACGTGCCAAATGACTCCAAAAAATCCCTGCGAAGCCAAATATCAGAAGGCAGTTAATGGACCAAGTCGAGTTCTCGTGGTATTGAAAGGATACCGAGATCGTGCCAGAATACAAGGTTGGTTACAAAACGTCACCAAATTCGCGCGAAGTCACAATCAAAGTGTGTGAATAGTGGATGCTTTTTAGCACAGTAAAACAAAAGCACGTTAAACCAGTCACTGGTACAATTGGCTATAATAATAATTGTTTTCAATAAAACAATCGTGTTCTCGTGATAAAAGTGAGTCACTACAACTCTTCTTCGAACATGGATATATTCGAAGCATGACATCAGATGATCGATGCACAAAAGACTTATTTAAGTCACAAACATGCAGCTGTTTTTCGTCATTGACGCAACTCCTCCACATAGGCACTTTGATGGTTTCCACATACTTTAAGTGTTTTTACTAGATAGGATTTATTGAGCTGCGACGTTTGGTTTGTTAGACCATATTGCCTACGAACTTTATTGGGCTGGGATGTTTAAGTCTTGCTCACCAGTGCGGATCACTAATGTTAGCTATGGATCCGCTTATATAGAACGGAGAAGGTTTGACCTCTTGGCTTATACTGTAGTTACAACTTGCAAGCAATATCTAACTTCTTTTGTCTTTTCGTGACAACCATATAGAATAAACCTTTTTGATTAACGGCCGCTGACCAGTAGGCATTGATGGTGGGGGTGACAACTTTAACCCACCCTTGTTTATGGGGCAGAACATTTTGTTCGTATCAGGCTCTCTATGACTGAGAGCTAGTTAATCAGTCAGTGTTATTGAGGTTGTTCTCCTACACTCGTTATTCAGACTCGAGTTTCTAACATTATGTTAGATTAGCTATCCTACCAAGAGAAACTATAACATGCTAACTCGTACTTTTACATTAGGATGTAGTGGCTGGCATCAGATGAAAAGAGAATTCGAAAAGTCAAACGATGAAATATGTAGTTATCGGTGTTTCTTAAATTTACTCTCTTGATGCACTTTTGATTCAAATAAACAGCTTTCTCTATTTTAACTTCGACATTCTTTCTATCACTTGAGCTTACTCCACCCTGTTACATATCACAGTTCATCGTTCTTTGTTACTGCATTCCCTTATCTGAGGGCTCTAGCCACATTTAACCATAGCAGCAGGAACTAGTATGAATTTAATCTACTTATTTATCACGCCTTTATCTTTCGACTGTAGCGACACTCCTACGGTTAATTTCGATTATGGTCAACCTTTGTCGGGCCCATTTATCTGCTTATTTAACAGACTATGGTGTTCGTACGATAACAGTTCGTTTACTTCTTGGTATCATTATGATCACTATCATGTCCGTATAAACGTGCACCCTTGAACACATGTGATAGCCTACGCAAATATCTCTCTAACCTAAATATTAATATCTTAAATGTCGCTTGATGGATCATCCTCTTTCCAATGCATGTACTCGAATCCTGTTAATAATCTTTGCCGTGCCTAGCTGCGCCCTGATTCGATTTGACTATAAATTTGCCTCTGTATTTGCTCGCTCACGCATTAACCTTCCTGCTCCAAATTTGCTCGATGTGCGTGTTACTGCTATCAGTGCAACTTGCTAACGAACTGTAGTCGCAGCTTCTTTTTACCTAGTGAATTCAAACACAGTCAGGGATTTATATAATAACAGTTATCAAGGTGATTGGTTAATGAAGCTACACAACTGCAAACTATCAAGCATTGTTTAGCGATTACATTCAATGAGCCCTTTTTTTTAGCATCACGCTCCGAGGACACAGCTGCAGAGCTTCTGACACCCGGAACAATCTTAGTGTACGCGTTCTTCAGGGTCACAGCCCATACCAAGTGCCATGTAAAATCACTTTATGATAATTACGAACCGAAGAAGTGGAATCTCATGAATGCTTAGCACAACTGGAATTTTAACACAATAATGCTGTTTTTGAACGCAATGTGCAATATGGACGCGATGCCGATTTTGAAAAATATTATAGAATCTGCACTCAGTGAGGTACTAAAACATAGACCTAATCATTAACTCTTTGAGACGTCTGCACAAATGTACCGTCTTCCATTTTTTATTATTTCAATTTATTTGACAGCCTTACTTGATAGACACTGTAAGCAAACCAATGTTACAACGTATAGACCTAGCCTGCAAAAATGTCGTGCACCTGACCTGGAAGAAAAATATAGTAATAACTCAATACAACTTACATACCACCCTTAAAAATGATGCATTGTACGACTTCTCCAGTTAGTTTAATGACAATAAGTCAATTGAGTGAGTGTAAGACATGTGATTAACTCCGCCTGGAGTCCCTCCGGGGGCTACTGCCGGTCCCAAGCCCGGATAAAGGAGGAGGGTTGGGCATGGGGTTAGCGTCCCCATCCCCCAGAAAACTAACTCGCTAAAAAAACGCTAACCAGAAAAAATTATTCAAACCTTTTAAACTCTGCCCTGGGAGTCAGAAGGTCTTCATTTAGAAGAATTATGACGCCTCATGATGAAAGCCGAATTCCTTCGGAAGTTACGAGGCCGATGCCCCTTCTGACAACCAGAGCGACCATTTATTTAGGTACATGGAATGTTCGTACAATGTGGGACACCGGGAGAGCCTTCCAAATTGCTGCAGAAATGAGAAGATACAACCTAGAGGTACTTGGGATCAGTGAAACACATTGGACACAAGTTGGACAACAACGACTAACTACAGGAGAGCTCCTGTTATACTCCGGCCATGAAGAAGAAAATGCACCACATACACAAGGAGTTGCATTGATGCTGTCCAAACAAGCGCAAAATGCGCTTATAGGATGGGAATCTCATGGACCAAGGATCATCAAAGCCTCGTTCAAAACAAAGAAAGAGGGTATTTCAATGAACATCATCCAATGCTATGCGCCTACCAACGACTACAATGAAGACGCTAAAGATCAATTCTACAATAGGCTGCAGTCAATCGTCGAGAAGTGCCCAACAAAGGACCTGACTATTCTGATGGGAGATTTCAACGCCAAGGTTGGAACGGACAACACTGGATATGAAGACATCATGGGACGACACGGACTGGGAGAAAGAAACGAAAATGGTGAGAGATTTGCAAATCTATGTGCCTTCAATAAGCTGGTCATAGGCGGCACCATATTCCCACATAAACGCATACACAAAACCACATGGACTTCACCGGATCACACAACCAAAACCAAATCGACCATATTTGCATCAACAAAACGTTCAGGAGGACTATAGAGGACGTGAGAACCAAGAGAGGAGCTGATATAGCATCAGATCATCACTTGCTGGTCGCCAAGATGAAATTGAAACTCAAGAAGCACTGGACAACGGGGCGGACAATATCACAAAAGTTCAATACGGCCTTTCTTCAGGATACTAACAAACTCAACAAATTCAAGATAGTCCTCAGCAACAAGTTCCAGGCCTTTCATGATCTAC